TTTTCAAGATTTTTTTTAAAATGGCTCTTTTGTAAATTGGTTCACCTTCACAGTGGTCTGATCGGACTTCCTATAAAAAACCGTGTGAAGACATGTATCAAGAAGAAGGTTGTATGACTCCTATGATAGAACTTTTATATCACCCGTGCATACCCTCCAACTTATGAGGATTTTGAAAATAATTCTTTCTAGTGGTAGCGAACCAAAGTAGAAATTTTTAAAGCAAATGGATCTCTCATTAAACTTTTATCAGAACTTAAGAATCTAGCCATATGGCCTGCACTTTTATGAGTAATAGTGGATAAGTTACGCTAAAATTATTTTTTTTTAAATATTAAGACATTAATTTTGCTACCGTCAGAAAAGATTTCTGAAACTACGGAAATTCCGTAGCAGTTGGAGAGTATGCCCGTGCATAACATTGTATTTATTTTCTACTGAATTGCTGTCAGGCTATGTACTCTATTGCATCTTCCATCTTGTCACGTAGTACCATACTCTATTTGTTCTCTATTCCATCTTGTGACGGAGAAAGAATAGAGAACATTTTTATTGACAAACATCCAGAATACACAGAACATAGTAACTGCTGTTTCCACTTGAAACGCATGAACTTATGTACAGTGAAATAAAAAAAACGGAAATGACGTAAGAAAGTATTCTGTTGTTAATTTACGTCGCACTAGAGCTGCACAATGGGCTATTGGCGACGGTCTGTGAAACATCCCGCAGGATGATCCGAAGACATGCCATCATAATTTTGATCCTCTGCGGAGGGGATGGCACCCCCGCTTCGGTAGCCCGACGACCTGAGCGCGAAGTCGAGCACTTTACGGTAGCACAGTTTAACGAGGACCAATACCGCACACCCTCGGTCCCTACGCAGACTGATGAAAGTGGTCACCCACCCGCACACTGACAGCAGCCAGTGATGCTTGACTTCGGTGATCTGCTGGGAGCTGTGTCTTAACGATCAGTCCACTGCGGGACTAAGAAAGTATTCTAGAACATTCCATAAATAATATCTAAAATCCTAAACAACTTAAACACATATTTCCATACATCTGAAGTATTGTTAGAAATAGAACTTCGAGGATCGAACTCAAAACCTCCGTTTTACCAGGTGAGTGCCTTAGCCGTTCGGCCATTCCGACACGTTTCAACAGGGAAAAAATCCAGTAGATATTAATGAACTAAATTTCATAATTGTTGCATAATGTACTAAATATTTCACACATAGGGAATTTCAGGCATTTTTATAGTCATCAAAATAGAAAAACTAATATTCTCCAGTTATGATTGACATTAAAAGATTTTTGTTCTGTATTATGTTTACTCATAATTTTGAATAGTAATAGGCATTTAATTCAAAGATAGTAAGAAGATTTTTTTTAAATTAATTTTAAAAAGGAGTCTTCTTCTGCACTACAGCCTGCTACCGGCCGTCTCAGTCAGTTTCTCCCCATCTATTAACTCCCAAGTCTTTTAACCCCTTCTCTACTCTAATCTAACCATCTTGTTCCGGAACAAAATGGTTTGTCTTGTCTTTCCCTCTGGTGTTTTTTTGGAAAGTTTTTTTTTTAAACAGGATTTTCATCGGCACCATCTTTAAGAAACCTTGATCATTTTTACTACGTTAGGTTCTTTGTATTTTGATTGCGTAGAATTCTCCGTTTTCTCTTACTGCAGCAAAAAAATTTTAATATTTTCCTCTCGAAAGTCATCGGTATCTCTTTATCAGCTCTGTTAATTGCCCCGAAATCACTGCCATATAAAATTATTAGTCTCAGCAGTATCTTGTAAAACTGTATTCTTGTTTCACAACTTGTGTATTGAAATGGTTTCTCAATTGATGACAGCATCTGTGAGCCATATTTTATTTTTAATATCAATTTTTATGTCATCGTTTACCATTGCACTTAAATGTTTTACTTGAGCCACTTGTTCAAACCCATATTCATTAATTTTCAGCCCGTCAGTTCTTCCCACGACATTGCCTGCAAATGCTAGCAGTTGTACGGACTTTAAAAAAATTGTATTCTTTGTTTGTATACCTGTCTCTAACTGCCTTCTCTAGAGCTATATTAAACAGATGACATGACAGGGAGTCTCCCTATTTCAGTATAGAAAACACCTGATGCTTCTGATTCAAACTTTAAAAAAGTATACTGAACATTTCAGAAAGAGAAAGTTAACTGATTTTTTTAAATGAGGCTAATTTAATTATGTATTAGTGATACTTATTTAAATATTCACGCAAGCAAGTGTCTGTGTAAAAAATTCTATCTCAATAGGGATTTTTTAGGAAACTTACTCCATTTTACGAAATTTCTTAAAATGTACAAAAACCAGGAGAATCTTAATGAAACCAGCAGAAACTGGCAAAATCCAGTACAGTTGGCAGCTTTGTATACGCGATTACATAAGCTATTTATAATGCCAAGTTAACAGCTTGTGTCAATGAAAAATTACTGGAAGGAATCCTTAAAATTTACCAGAAATGAACAAACTATTTTTGGGGAAATTGATTACAACAGTTGTGACAGTGAAGATTATTGAATTAAAATATTTCAGGCAAAAATTATGTAAATTGATTTCTTCTTTCTGAATGAAATCAGGAACAATTCCTTTGTTTCTTGATACCAATGCTGAGTAAATGCTTTTTATAACACATTGAACAGTTTCATAATTGTTATTATTTACTAACATTACTATCATTATAATTATTATTTACAGTGTTTTAATTATTTATATTTAGGAGATTTTACACAGAAACACATCAACAACTTAGCTCTTATTTCACAGAAATATTTATATATCCCCCATTATGATGCAATGAATACTGAATTGATATTTTTTAATATATATTTCAGCATTAATATCTATTATAAAAAATTAGCAAGTCTGAATTTTCATTGACATGCAGTGCGTTCATAGTTTCAGTTATGTTGTTGAACTCAAAAGTACTAAAACTCCTTTAACCCACAGCTGCCAACTTGCACAATACTGAAGTAATACACTGAGTGGTAGTAAAATAAAGTAAGACAGCTACCACCTGCTCTTTTTATGTTGTAAAAATGCAATCTTAAGATTTTGAGTTAGACAAGTACAAGTTAACAGTTCTTATTTTTTGAATAAATGAATATTTAGAAGAAGTTCAGTATCATATTAATTGAAGAAGCTTGTTTATAGGGTTTAGAAACTTGTCTCTGAAGAACACAATAAAATTTTCAAAAAAAAAATATGCATTTTTGATAGTTTATCCTTTTTAAGATTATTGTACTAAAATATTGAATTGATTTTCATAAAAATGTAACAAATATAAGAATCGTAACATATAAACATGTAAGGGTAACAGCATTAAGTCGAGCTTGGTACAGGAGCTGGACCCGCTGTGACACATATGAACAAACTTGTGGGTCTAGTTGATCATTGGATCGTGGTAAAACACTACCATTTTAACTACTTTATTGAAATAATTTGCTTAATTATGTAAGAAAAAGAATTAATGGTATTTTCAATATAAATAGTTGATATGACAACTTATTAAACTGTAATAAATTTTAAGGAAGTTTGCTAAGGGTTATTGACAGTTATAGAGCAATCAAAAATAAATGTAGGCAAAGCAGCTAAAGAATGTTAAAAAGGGCCAGAAATGGAGGGCTGCTGACTCTCCATTTCTAACAGCATATCCATTATTAACAGCAGCATTCCAGTAGGATTCAACAATGATGAAAATGGATAAACGTCGTAGGGACCTGATACTGATGCATTATAGTTATTTGTAAAATTTTATTTATATGGGTTATTGATCACAACACTCTAAAAACAATTTACTCTAAACTTTTCTTTATACTTGCTGTATCTCTAATTAACACTATTTTCAACCAATTTACTTCAAATTTTGTCGCAATATTCAAAATAAAGTTTTCATGGTGATTTTTTATTTGGGTGGACTGGTTCTGAATAATCCACAATAATTTATTTTATGTCATGATTAGATTATTATTTTTAAAAAACCCAACAAGCAATGAAAACTGCTCTCATGTAGTTCGAAAAAATTCATAGCGTAAAAAAATTATGGATTTTAAAAAAAATAGTTCTAAACATATTTATACTACTAATTTTAAGTTTTGTATTTGTAAAATGAAGATTAAAATATGAACAGTGCGCAAAAAATTAAACAAATTACCCTTAATTCAATTCAAAGATTGAATCTCTGATTCAAGGGGTGACTTCAAATATGTGTATTAATAATTAGTACAGACAATATTTTAAGTTATGAAATCAGACAAAAACTTACTTTCTCTAAATAAACATACCTTTTTTATTATAGATCTGGGTTTTTGACCCCCTAAATATAGGGAGGAACCGCAATCTGGGAAGTATGATTCTCATAGTGAGGTCAGGAAAGCTATCAAGTTTAGATATCTTAATTCAAAGTTTACATATTTCGTCATATTTTGAGAATCTTAAAAAAATTTTAGACTATTAAAAATAAATATTTATTTGCAAGATTATTGCTTTTATATTAATCTTAGGACAAACAAGTTATAATTGTGTGTTAAAATTTTTTAATTCTCTTAAAAAGTTCAAGATATGGTGAAATAAACAAAAAATGAAGTTGGTATTCAGAGGTTTATTGGGGATCCAAAATCCCATCATGAAAAGGTATGTTTAATCAGAGAAAGTAGGTTTTGTTTGTCTGATTTTCTCACTTAAAACATTGCCCCACTAATTAATTAGCATATATGAGGTCACCCTCTTAAACTTTTAAAATTGAGTCCTAGAATGTAAAAATCTGATCATTAGATCAAAAATTATTCAAAGCGGTCCGTTTATTTTTTGTACACTATACAATAAGATTAAAAATAAAAAAAAATTATCAAATTTATTACAATCATTGCAAAATTGATTAAAAAATCCTTTTGTGCAAACTTCTGTGTCGTTCCCCCCTAAATAGCAGTTTAAACATAGACAATGATTAATAAAGAGCAACATATTTCTGTATATTTATTAAGCAATTCTGGAGATGGTATAAGATCATGAAAACATACACACAAATGAAGAATTTGTGTAAGCACATACTAAATTACTGCATAAGCTTCTACCATAGGAGATGCTTATGATTGTTTTCTTTAATTTAAAGCTATATTATAGCATACCAGTTTTTATCTAAAATACTTATTACAGCAATTACTGACAAATTGAATATCTATAGAATTTAAAGCTTTATCTGAAAATAGCAAAATAAGAATTTAACTTTTATAAAATAGATTATAAACTTATTAGGATAAAAAATTATTCTTTACGATTTTTTTTTTTTTTTTTTTTTAATATATTAGATTTCTTTTACTCACTTACCACTTTGACTTATTTAGGAACACAGATCCATTACAGACCTAAATGTTCACATATGCTTTATGATATTATGAATAAAAAGTATAAATAAGTAAATGTAAAAGATATAAATAACATATAGATATAATGTAAGAATAAGTTAATGTAACTATGAGTATAATTCTTTGAGTATAGAATTCATGCAAACAATCTGTGATGCGGAATGCTCAGTTAACTGAGATTTGTGAACCAAAAATATACAGCTTTTTTTTAAAAAAAAAATATACAGATGTAAAAGAAACTTCTAGATCACAAATTTCGGTGAATACAGAGTGTAACTAATATCACGCTAGAGGTGTATACATTTAAATTCTGCTAATGAATAAAAGTGTTAAGATCACGGAATAAATTAATGTAAAACTGAGTGAATATGAATGGAAATTTTTTATAATTGAACAGTGATATTTGAGTAATCATTGGTATTTACTTATTAATATTACAGGAAAAACTGAATATAATACCCAACCACAACTGATTCTTTCCCTGATTAATTACTTATATATTAGAAATTTATTCACATAAAATTCAAAAGACATGTATATACAGTTGAGCACATTCAAATTTAGTAACAGAAGTTCATTAATTTAGCACATAACAGATTTAACTTAAAAACCACTGATACAAAAATATGAATATTTCTAACACACAAAACAGAGATAATTTTTTGTCGATTCATGTCGAAAATAAATTAACAATAAAAGATCATTGATATAATTAAAGAAGGAAAAAAATCACTCTTTTAGAGCTTATTAAATAATACATTTTACAATTTTTTACAAAATAGAAAGATTTTTCGTTGATTCAAGTTGAAAATAAATTAACAATAGAAGGTCATTGATATAATTATTGCTTGCTTGATTATTGCTCTTTTAGAGCTTATTAAATAAAACATTCTGCAATTTGACAAAAGTAAATGATTATAAATATAATTCGTCAAAATTATTCATCATGTATAACATAAATATAATTCACCAGCAAAAGGTTTTACTGTGCAAATATATGAGCACATAAGAAAATATAACAGTAATATTTTTAAAAAAATTTTCAACAAAAAATTATTTGAAATAAGTTAAAAACCATGTTTAATCAACCAAAAATCTGAGATAAGTGTTATGCAATTTTATAGTGCATATAAAATGCCACGTTACATTGAATTTATTATTATTTAGAATAAATTTTTCTATTCTTAAAGATCAATTGATTAGTTACGATCCTTAATATTTGAAAATTTAGTAAGCATTGATTTGAAATTTAAGTGGAGCTTAAGATTTCCTATAAATAATAAAGTGCAATCTGTTAAATGGAAATATAAGTTAAAGAAATAATATTTTTTTTTTTAAATTTTGTAAAATAGATTTCCATCCAATTTAAAATTCAGCCAACTTTCTGTTTAAATATTTTTATGAAAAAACACTAAATAACTCTGTTTTATATAAATTAATAGTACAAAATCCAACACCTTTTTTCTTTTCAACACACTGTCTATGAAAAAAATACAGATGTCAAACCATGATATTTAAATGAAAGAGAATTAAATATAACCTTACACTTTCAATTCCATATTTCACAAGCACAAAAATGCAATATCAATGTTTTTGACTTATGTATTTGTCTAAAGGTTTTTACTATAGCAAAATGCTTGCTGCTATTAACAGAAACGTTTAAAAAAAAAGTTTTGCACATTAAAAAAAAAGCAGTTTTGCTCTAAAAAACATCACGGCGGATAATCACCAAGCCCCACTTCAAAAATCAACATCAGGTATATTCAAAAATCAACAAATGTACAATAATCTTTTAAATATTTTACCTCATTACAGATGAAATACATAAATTCTTTGAAATATCATTAGGCATTAAAAAATTAAGTATATTAATGATGGGAGAAAAAAGAAATTTTGAGTATTGAAAAACTTAAGTAATGATAGTGTTCCTTGGACAACAAAGTGATTAAGATATTGCATGAGTTAGGAGCAGATAAGACAGACATCAGTTACAGCCTGCATTATGCACCATTAGAACCACTTACTCCACAGAGAGTTTTTTAGTTCATAAATACATTACAATCACAGACCTAGTTGAATTAAAAATTAATTTGTTTCCATTTTTTCACATTGTGGTTGATTTTGAGTTGTGTCATCTGGTTTTGTAGCTTCTGGTGTGTCATTGGTAGAATCTGGCATTTCACTATCAGCTTGGGGTTTGTCAATTGGTTTTTCTTCGGGAGGAGGTTCAACTTTAGGCTTTGGTTTTGATAATATAGGGTTTACCACATTTTCAAGCTCCTGAGAGATATAAAATACATTAATGAAATGTGCAGTACAAGCCAAATTGTAATTCATCATGTATAGTCATTAAGAATAGACGAGCAGATGAAACATTAGACAAAATTTTTAATCCAGCTATTTAGATTAATCATTCATTAAGAGCATAATATACTAAATTAATGTACTAATTAAATTAAATAAAAATATAAATAAAGCCACATTATAAACGGAGAGCAATTTTAAATACAGCTGATTAGCTAATGAACCCTCCAGATTTAATATTTTATCAAAATTTAAAATTTGGATAAATATGCATTTATCAACTTTTTATTTATCAATGAAACCTCTTTAATTGTTTGATAATACTTAAAAGAAATTAATGAATTTCAAAACAAAAATACAGCGAAAGTAATAATTGAAAGTGAAAGCAAATAAGTAAGTGATCCTAAGAGAAGCATTTAAAAATTCATTAATAATTTAACGTGTAAGTGGTTCCAATTATGTTTAAATCAAATGAATAAAAAAAAAAATTTGTACAATAAGAGATTTAGAGAATAGTAGGAATTATCCCTTAATTGACATTTACTTAATTTTGCATCCCAGTCTAGGATTCATTCTTAATAGTTTGAGGGGGTGACCTAAAATATGCTAATTAATTTGCGTAGACAATATTTTAAGTTCAGGAAATCAGACAAAAAAAAACATACCTTTTCCCAACCAACTTCTCTGAAAAACATACCTTTTCCCAATGGATTCAGATTTCTGACCCCCAAAATATAGGGGTAGCCAAAATCCGGAAAATATGGTCCCCATAGTTAGTTGCATATTTCGCCATAAATTGACAACTTTTAAAGCGAATTGAAAATTTTTTGCACACTATACATTTTTTTTAAAGCATGAAGTTTTACCTAACAAAAATACAAAATTTGAGCTAAATGTATTGAGTAGTTATTAAAATATGTTTTACTTGATACAATATAGTATAAAAAGCTAAAATGATATTTTCAAATATAAGTTTTGTTGAATAAAAGACCGTAAAGAAAATTGACCGGAAATGATAAAATTAAAAAAAAAAAAAAAAAAATCAAGCTGGGACTGATGTGGATTGTTTTATATAGTATCAATTTAAAAAATCTACTGTTTTTTTTTTTTGGCTGGTTCCTAGACGAACCCGGATTTTGTAAGCACACAGTGGAATCTCCTTATGAAAAGGCTTAACAAAGCATTTTTCTTGAAACTGAGATGTTTTGTCGCCATTAATTCGCATTTGCAGTTGATGATGTCCTCAACTGAACAAGTATGACAGAATAACCTTTAACTATGAGATTGAAATAGAGTTGCACTCTTTACCTACAAATCTTTAAAAAAACATTTCGTTAGTCAGTCATTCTAATGAGCATATTTTGAATGCTAGCAGGTTGATGAATTTAGTTTTGTTGGATTTCCATTTTTAAAACTAAATGTGGAGAGAAAGCCTCTTAGTATATTTTAGAATATTTTATACAATGTTAATGATACAATTTTTTAAAAAAGTCAATAATTTCTGCAACACCTGCTGGTTCTCTTTTTCTTTATTAACAGTTATTAAGAATCAAAAACAAATTGGAATAGCTTGCGAAACCAACCAGTTTAAGCCTGAAAGAAAACTATTAAAAATGAAGATGAATTGAGGTGGCTTTATTAGAATGAATAAGAACCAGAACATTATTTTAACTGGTACTGAACTATTTTACATATTTAAATGGATGGTTGATGAGGTTTAAAGAACAAGGAATTTAAAGAAATTAAATGAAATAAAATAAATTTTTATATATATTAGATTTATTTCTATACAGATATCAGCTAAATTTTTTGACTACTTTGACTTCATATTACACTTAAGTATACAGATGAAAACAAAAGGGTCTACTTTTTATAAAAAGAACAAAATATGAAATGCCTCAAGTAATTTATCAAATGATAGCCAAGCTCTTCACAGACAACCCTGTCATACAAAGGCCTGTGTCGTCATGAAGCTACCTGATTTGCTCAGCGAAACTTGTAGCAGGACATTTTGAAACACCATAGCTTAGCCCAATGTTATTTTTTTTTAGAATTACTTTCTTTACTCATTAAAAGTATGACCAGTTGTCATCGGCTAGACAGTGCAACAAGATAACAGAATGTAAGAATACTGAAGTGGGTCAATCACACACTACCTGTTGTAGGAACCTCCGGGTTTCAAGAAACGTGGAGTGGATATAGTTTACAGTGGTTTACCAGTCTGTTTCTAACTGATCTAACATTATCCAAAAATACTATGGTCGAGGCAATCTGATGATCTGGCCAGGCCTCATAGCATATTGACTTTCATTGCCGACAGGTCAGTGGTAGAGAAAAGATTCTTGTAACCTAATTCGCTGAGTTTATGGACTAATTTTTATCTCTAAAGAATAATACTTACAATCAGAGATATTCAGCGATTGGAATAGTATGTGATGTCCTCTAATCTTAATCCAACTGAAGACATGCGTGATGACATAGAATGCTCAATTGCAGCTTGAAAACTAGCTCCAATGAAAAGTGATGATCTCAAGGAGGCCTAAGTGCAAGAGTGGGTGCAGTTGCCACAGGGATAGATTAGAGCTTCATACTGCTTATCAGGATCCTTATGTGAGAGTTGTGAAGCTGCTACAGGCAATCATACAGCCCATTAGATACGTTTTTATTGTTTAACGGGGTATTCAGCTGCTGGGCTGGACAAGCGATCAGTTCCCTTATTTAGGGTACAGGTAATGCTTATTTTTTGGTTTTTCCTTATATTTGTCTTTTTAATTACTTTTACCAGTGGAATATAAAAAAATTTACCAAATACATACCTCTTTTTGTTGTAAAATCTCATTTACAGTAACAGGTGGGTTTTCATAAGGTAATAGACTTGATAAACGCTGGAGAGTTTTCCCATGCCATTCTTGTTTCTTTTCTAATATACTTTGAACCTGAAACAAATATCAATTTGAACATTTCTGTAAAAGAAATTTAAAAAAAAAAAAAAATCGAATATTACTTAGGTGCTTATAATTTCTATTAACATCGAATTCACAAGATTAAATTGATTTATGGCTGTTAATTTTAGTCATGTTTACTTTCTCAGCATGTCTTAAGTAAGATGCCAGAAACTCAACAGTAAATGACTCATTTTAACAAGAGAGGCATGTGTGAGGGGCTTTTTATTTGAAACCATGCACAGAAAAAATTTTCCTTGATAATTTTTTTAACCTAAGTCAATCCTCTTACATTTGCATCTGGTTTCGTCAGATTTTTCTACATGAGTTTTAACATCTCTAAATAAGTTTAAAATTAAGAAAAAGCTAAGTAAAGCTAAAATGTCACAGGAATTAAATCCAAACTTTCTAAATTTAAAAAAACTAGCCTCATTAATTCTTTAAAAAAATTCTATGGAAACAAGTGGAAAATTAGATTTTGATGAATTTTGGTCACCAGTACATAGAAATTATTGAAACTGGTATATACCAGACAGATAAATGTTCATAAATTTTGAACATTAATCATTGTGTGATGAATTTTGAACATCAATATTCATCATACAATTTTAAGAAATCGTATCAAATTTTAAAAATAGTAGTTCCAGAAAGGAAGTTAACGTTTCCAAAAGATATACTAGAGTACATTTGAATTCACTTAATATATGTTTAGGTAACTTTTGGCAAAATCAAATTTTCTTTTATTATAAGAACAGCTTCAAAAAACATATTTAAATGCATGGAAACAAGGTTCAACTGTGTCATAATCACTAAAAATGTACATGAAAAATGCTCAAGATGATTCATCATAAATTTATTATGAAATAATCATTACAAGTCAAGAGAACTTTTAACTTATGAGAACTTTTAACTTAAAAATATATCAACTACATATTCAATATATTAATTGACAATCAAGAGCTGAGCTGCTTTTTGAAACAAATTCAAAATAAATTAATTTTAATTCAAGATTGCTAATTTACATAACATACCAATAGAAATATGCAAAAGTAAAGATTATATTGCAATGTTAAATATTATATGGATAATATACTTTATTCATTTCTTCTACTGTAATGTGATCATAAAGTGGATCTTTATTTTTGAATAATTGCAAAGCTTTGTATGCTCGCTGTAAGCTGGATCCTAATGCATTAAAAGCTGCCTCCCTGTTGTTAAATTCAGTAAATCGAAAAACTATAGGATCCCCATGATTCTAGAAAGAAAGAAAAAATTTAAAATTTCTCACACTATGAAAAAATTACATAATGTAAAACATTCTAACAACAAATTCTTACCTTCAGGTCTGTCAGTTTCTGTACATAAACACTCTTCTGTTGATCTTCACCTTCATCATAAAGCCAATTTTCTGTATCTTCCAAAATTCTGCAAAGTTGCTCTTTGCCCTAAAAATATTGTGAATTTTAATAAATAATATAAATTAACATCACTGCAACAAGTCACTAAAACTTTTTAACTTTATTACCTCAATACATAAACTAAATTTTAAAAAAGGCAAAATTAGTATTAAGGGCTTTCAAACTGGTCACATAATAAATGAAATTAGAGTTAAGAAAAGCAAACTTCATGATGTATGCTTAATGAAATAATTAGGATTTTTTTAAAAAAGCATGGAAAATATAGACACTGATGCTTGTAAACATTGCAACACTATGAAAGAATTATCAGAAATTAATGAAATTTTTTCCACATTTTACTGGTAGTGGTATAAGCAATTAAATTTTCAAGACAAAGAAAGTTCCAAATCAGAATTTTGTATAGCCACCATGCTGGGCGTTGAATCATAGGATCATAACGCAATCCTTAAGAACAGCATTCCATTTGGCTTTGACTTGATGCCTAAATTTAAGTCTTATTGTGTGATCCACCAGCTGCATGAGCATGTCACTGAGCGATGAAGTCCTAGATATGCTCAACAGGCAGCATATCCAGGGAATAAGCAGATGGAAGAAACAAAGCCAGTAGTGCACTGAAGAAGGCTTATGCAGTCCTAGAAACTTGTACACAGGCATTTTGCTAAATGCAGTGCTAGAATTTTGTGCCTTGCTTTGATAAAGTGCCAAGAACGCAAAGAATATGAGAGGACCTTCGACTCCAAAATTTTCCCTATGTAGTGATCACTGTTTAAATTGCCTGCAAATTGTCTTAGGTAAAATCGACAATACCCATTAGCTTTCCCCACTATGAAGACAGACGCTTGTGTGATATTCTGCTGAATAATATACTGCAGAGCAGATGTTTTCTGACATAAGTTCTTCCATCATAGTACACCAGAACGTAGTGAGATTCATTGTATTGTTTACCACCATAATTTTTCTGGAAGAGAACAGTTTTGGTAGCCTTACATATAAAAAATAGTAGCCTAAATAGAATCTTCAGAGAAATAATTAAGATACCATTTGGATCCATGAACTAGTGTTTTGAATAATTATAAGAAAAAAAGAAAAAATCTCATGATAGAACCGTAGAATACAATAACTAAAACTTCACCAGATTAGCACAATAGACCATTTACCATTTCAACTATTGCTTCAAAAGCTGAAGAATATTTTTTCCTTCTTTTAAAAATGTCATGAATATAATAAAAGGAGATTAAATAGAGACAAATATTAAAGTTTAGGGTAAATAAACTTGTTTTGCTTTTGCTTCTGAAAACCCGAGCAACTATAAATTAAATGTGTGATTAAAATAAATTGTTTATCAAGATTCAAAATTAAATCATAAAATTTATTTGATTTAAAGAATTCATGAACATTTGAAAGTGCATTTTCATTTATAAATTATTTTTAAAAAAAATATTTATATTAAAGAAAAAGTTTTCCCCCCACACGTTGATAACTGTACAGTATTTTAAAAATTTCCTAATATTATAACTTTAACATAAAAATTTAAAGATCTAAAATTACTAAAAAATACATACTTCAGGAAAATTTGCTATGAAATGTTTTTTTTTTTTTTTAATTTTAAACAAAGGATTTGACAAACTGAAAATATTATTATAAGTTTGGAATAACTAGATATAAGTGAACAAAATTATTTAGGAACATAAGAATAACTAAATTTCAAATAAGTTACATACACAGATTTCAGAATTCAGTATAAAACTAAAATATATTATTAGTTAAATCTTGAAACATTTTAATAGATATCGTTAAAAAATTATATTAGTCATCTTTTGTTTTTTCTTTGCCAGTTTTTTACCTACAGAGAATTGCAAGAGGTAGGTTTCTTCGAGAAGAAATCAATCTTGATGAAAACATTAATAAAATCTTAGTAGAAAAAAGTATGTAAAGGTCACTTTATGCATTTAAAAAATTATAATTTTCATAAATAAAAAATTTATATACTTCTTTCTTGTCCTATCTTGTGAAATTTTGATACTTACATATTAAAACTTAATTGAATATATATTAAGATTATAAACCATATTATTTTAAAATAAAAATACCTATATTTTAACACAGATTAGGATTTTCTTTGAGTAATAAAAAATAAAGACTTGTAGCTTCGAGAAAATTGCATAAAAAAGTTAAAATTATTTTATTTCTAGTCGTTTGTATGAACCATGAATTAATGTAAAAAATGTTTTGAATTATGTAAGCGAATCTGAAGCATTAAATTTTGCCCATAAACTATAAAAATTACACTAAGAGAAATGGAAATGATTAAAAAGATTATAAATAAATAATATAGGTAAATATTGAGGATAATTAAGCCAACATAACGAATTAATAATCAATTGAACATTGAACACAGTACAAAAACTAATCCATTGTACAAAAATGACGATTATTAGCAAGAAATTAATCCAACTATGATACATTTCTGCCATTAAAATTTATCAACATAATGAAAAATCTAGCAAGCAGAGGCTGATTGTACTACGGAAACTCTAAGGCAAAACTTTTCTTTTTTCCTCTTACTCTTATAATTCATTTTTCTTTACTTGAACAATTTCGTAAATAAAAAGCATTTAAAAAAATGTATCCCTTTTTATGACAAATTAGAACAGAGGTAGAGTGCCAAAAACTTAATCTCTTATTATTATCCACCACAAAATATGAGGAATTAAGACTTCTAAATTTGCAAGAAGCAGCCCCTTGAAAGATATTTGCTTTTGGACCCTTTTTTGCCTAAAAAAGTGGCCACTTTTTTGCTAGTGGAAACGTTACAATAGAAGGGAAAAAAATATTTAGAAAGTTACCTGTTCAGTTACAAATTTTTCTAGTACTCCATAAAGTTTATCTCTAAATTCATACACATACTCTTCCACTGCATTTTTTGCATCTGCTCTTTCTTTCTCCATTTTGTCTTGCATCATCATTATACCCTATGCAAATATGAAAGTGACTTAATAAAGCAAAATTGTAATATTTATTTAAATTTATCCTACATACTCTTAAATGCATTTACCTGAAACAAAATTATCACCTCATAAAAAAAAACCTCATGAATTACCTCATAAAAAAAACTAATAAGTTTAGTTTCTAAAATGAGTACCACTAGTATAGAAGAAGTTTAAAAAAAATATCTATTTATGGCCTAGTAGTGGTCACAAAAGGAAAAATCAGAAAAAAAAAAAAGAGTTTCATAAAATATATGGAGGAACTGAAGAAAGAATGAATAAAAAATTTAACTTTATAATAACTTTATAGCCTAGATCATATAAGTCTAAAAAAAATGAAGAAAAAAGAACTAAATTCAATAAAAGCTATAATTATTATTTGTATAGAGATTCTTTAAAAAAAAAATTTTGAATAAAAAAAAATTTTTTATAGAAAATATTTTCAGAAAAGAAAGTTTTAATAATGACAAAATGAAATACAAAACAAAATTTCATCTAATAAAAAACCAAGTAACAAGTATCCAAGATAAATGCTGTTTAGTTGATTAAACAAAAAGAAATAAGAACAAAACCTTACCTCCCTTTCAATCAACTCATCCAACTCTCGCCTACTCAGACTAACTGAGTCAAACTCAATAGGGAGATCAACAGCTTTTGTTACACTTTTCGGTTTCTTTTGCTCTGGTTCTTTTTTCTCAGTTTGCTGAAAATATTCAATTCATAAATGAACATGTACTCGAATTATAATTACTACGACACTGAAAAATTTATTTATTATATTGTAAATGATTGTCATAATAATAAATATTATAATGTATTGTCTGAGTTCAACAAGAGCACTGAGTTTATTCATATTCATTGCACATATATGTGGCATTTAGTTAACCCATATTAGGGGGGAAATGGAATGATAGAAACCAAGTATATATTGTCTTGAAAGAAATAGATGCCCAATATCTGAATGTACTTGGAAGACAACCTGGTGGAAGATAAACAGGTTGTACACTAAATCCAATTTCAGAAATCTATCAAGCTTCATCTGTTTGACCAATCCATTCATCCAGCCCAAAGATTGCCTAATTATCACTAATGCATTCTACTAAATGTAGCCCCTTGTCACTGGCACTTTTTTGGTCAGTTTAGAAATTTACTATAAAATGTGTACTTTCTAGGAAATTTTCAACCAATTCCAACAATTTATCTAGAGTCCATCTTTTAAAACCTATCTCAGTACCTTTAGACTATAAGCAATGGGGAAGAAATTGTGACCTTATTTATAATATGTCTGTGCATTTTTTTAAAATATTTTTCCAGTGTTAAATTATTGTGCACAACTGTGCTCTATTCAATTCTCATTCAACGTGCATATGAACTGCCATTTATACATACATTTCTTTTATTTTGATATTTGTATGCCAACGCATTTATAACTTAAGTCACTTCCACTGTGAATATCTATTATTTTACTTTTCTTTCGTCGAATTTTAAATTCACAAAATTTAATAGCCAAAATAGAAAAAAATAAAGAAATTGGACATGGGAATTATTAACAAAAATATGAATTTATAAAGGATTAAAACAAACTTAAATTAAGAGAAAATTTTAAAAAGTGATTCTAATAATAACTTACATTATTCAGTTGAATAAATATTTCCTTAGTGGATACCAAATTAACTATTGTCAAAGAAAGTACAATTAGTTTTTTTATTACTAAATATATAGCTTTTAAAAACTAGACGATAACTATTTAATCTCTAGTTAAACTTATAACTATCTCAATATTAATAAATTTTGGGTATTTATCCAGGTTACTCTAGATATCTACCAAAACCATAAAAAACCAGGTATTTCACACTTATACTCATACCCAAGCTCATTTTTAGATTTTATTCTAACAAGAGTAAACTTATATTCTAATTATATTACTTACATCGTTGCTCAGAAAGAGTTGTAAAGCACCTTTTTATAAGCACTAGTAATTATTAGTAGTATTAGAGCAATATCAAGTAATTTTCTGAATTTGATTCAGAATAGATGAAAGTGGTGGGTGTCATTGTCATCCTTTCTACACTCACGGATATAAGAATTTGCAACAAGTCCTTTTATTTCTATCTTTTTTTATGCATGAATAAAAATTAACAATTCTTACAATAAAACTTTAGTACTTTATTCTCAGTAAAGCTTATAAGGAGTAATGCTCAAACCCAAAGCAGGAAAAAAGCATCTAGATGTGTATTGGAGAACTTTGACCACATTTTTGTCAACGTGATGTCAACAAAATATTGTTAGGTAATGCACTGATTTAGTATAACAGTTCATCATTCATATCTTAAATACAAATACTTACAGGTTTATCTGTTTCTTCTTTATTTACTTCATTATTAATGTCACCATTAGGAGCGGTGGTATTCTCAGACTCCATCACTTCATCTTTTTGTTCCCCATTAGCCAGTTTTTCAACTTGTTGTGGAGTTTCTTCAGAATTACCATTTGCAGGTTGTTTTTCTAACATAGTTGCAGAACATATGGAAAATATGCCATGAAGGTTAACACGTGCTTTTATTTTCAACTTAGCACTTTCACCAGTAGGTGAAGGAACCACATTCTTGATCTTGAAAGTAGCTGTTAAAAGTTTTAAAAAGTTATTTAGTAAATTAAAATATAATTTAACAGAATATTTTAATCAAAATCAAAAGAATATTAAAAGCTAAGCCTAAACTTGAACTTATTATGTCAATATTGCTATGTTAATATTGTTATAAATATATATTTAATACATATATTGTTAGGTTAGTATTAAGAGTACTTCGTTAGTTTTTACCAATACATTAATGATTGGATAATTAGCTGTGAAAATAGAAATTGTGATTCAAGATATGGATTTCTACTGAATTTGTATATTATGTACAATGTGTTTTATTTTTAAACATTAACATTCAAAACAATTTTAGACTTGCAAACCAACCTGCTAACTATTCAAAACAACCTGCAATAAAAATGATTTCCTCCTTTTAAATAATCAACAACTTAATTAAACTTTAAATTATCAACAAAATTAACTTTTTTCAGAAAGTAGCAGAAAATTAAATTCTCATAGAAATATAAAACGGTTGCATTTTTAACTTATGCAACTAACTGACTGTAGGAAATGAAGTATGTTTTTTTTTAAAAAATTGCCCACATCGTGGTAAACAAATTTCTTTTTAACTACAATTTAGGTACACTATACATATTAATTTAAAAATGAAGCATATACATTGTTTGAACAAACGCAAAATTAGGGGTGAAAAAACTTACTAGGTCCAACACTGCCAAATGTTTTAACAAGTTGTGGGATATTAATAATAGCTTTGCTTATGTTTTTGCATATGCAACAGTTAAGGTCCTAATAATTGAATAATGAGTCTGGAAACTAATTACTATAAAAGGACTACTGGGAGAGTTGAGAGTTGTCAAAACCATGAACAAAAATATAAGATGCATTTTCACAGATTATAAGTCAGCAGTTTCTTTTTTAAGCAAAACTAATGTAAAAAAACATTAAGAAATACTTACATAATTTATTTGTACCACAAATTGGTATATCCTTGTCTTTGTAGGTTCCCTCAATCAAGAAAGGTTCCTTTCTATAGTAAGTCAAGAGCTTGGAGTATGGAACTTGGTGCCCATAAGGAAATATGTCTAATTGGCTAAAATAATAAAATGCAAATTAATAATCTATTTAAAATTATTTTAAAAAAATATCAAATATTTATGAAAAATAAGCAAAAACAAAATACGAAGATCTTTAACCAGAGTAATTATAAATAAGTAATAGTGTGACTGTCCAGAATACTAAGAAAACTGCAAATTTCGAACATGTTAAAATTTCAGATATTTGAGTTTAAGTTTCAATGATTTAAATTAATTTAAAATGAAATTTATTGTGATGTTCAAATTTTCGTACTGGTCTTAAAAGTTTGACAATTTATTACAAATGTTTTGCTGCACTAATAAGCATAAATTGTTACTTGGGGTGCGATAAATCTAGGGTGCACTGCAAAAAAAAAGCGAATGAGAAGAATAGATTTACAATAGAATCTGTGCAAATTGAAACTCTCAAGAAGTGTTAACTCAAATGTGTGATTCAAAATTTTCAACATTTTTGTAAGGTTTGAAAAAATATGCTTTTTTATTATGTGCAGAAGTTAACGAGGGGCACAAATGGCCTGTAGTTTGAGCGCCCCTACCTTTCAATATTTGTTGAATCAACAAATATATATTTAATACTTTTAAATTAATATATTTTATTTTCAGACATAAAACATGGAAATAAATTATTCAGCTTAAAAAAAAATTTGTAGTAAGTATTTAAAAAGATTAAACCAAAATATTCTGATTTTATTTTAAGATTTCCTTTCCATCCTAATTTTAGACTGAGCTTGTTTCCATCAGATGTAATGCAAAAAAAAAATTTATGCTAAAGATGAAGTTTAAAATATTGATCTCAGAAAACTAATAACTTACAATATCAGTAAAGACTAACCATCTCTTATAATTAATTAATCATAGCTGCTATTATAACAGCTGAACTTTTTCAAATTTTTTATTACTTCAGTCCAAATTATAAAAAATATAAAATCTGATCATTAGATCAAAACCTATTAAAACACTTGTTTTTCGGCAATGTGCATCCAAAATTAATTTAATTTCATCTAATATCCATTTTTTACCAACTTGTCATATTAAGCTTCCTTTCGTCCATTATACTCAATACAGTAAAATCCCACAAAAAATATTCAATTGACAGGCTTATTATTAAACCAACACAGGACATGATAGTTAAAATCAGAAGGCTAAAATCATTGTTTTTACATAAAGAAAAGAAATAAAATAATTTAAAACTTACCATATTTCTGATGTATGCTGATCAGGGAAAGTAATCTGTATGTCATATGGCTGAATATCAGTGATTGAAAAATCTCTCACTTTAAAAGTCGGAGACAGCATTGCACACTAAACCAAATGAGAAAAAAAAATTAGAAAGTAAAGTGAATTCTTGTTTTAGCATTTTAAAAACAATTTTTATTAGTATAGAAAAATTTAAGAGTTAGAAATTTTTGATGCCAAATTCAAAAAAGAGTAACCCAACAATGTCTGTATTCTTATTCAAAAAGAAAACCATGTCTGGCAATAAACAAAAGAAAAAAAATCACTTTTTATAAGTGCGAAATTCTAGCAAAAAACGAATAATAAAAATATATAAACAGGGTTGCCACAGTAAAAAATGAACAAAAATCGTTGCTTTTAGTAGCCTCAAGCATAAAAATAGTCGCCTATAACTATGAAAATAGTTGCCTGAACAGGAACAAAAATAGTAGGCAAATAACTAAAATTATAGCTTAATTATCAAATACTATGATTAGGACAGGGTCATGTCAGAAATTTTAAATCGTGATAGCATATTGGACATCGCGATGTATCGTGATTTAGCATATGTTCAAAAATTACCTATGGGAAATCTTTAATCAATCAAAAATAAATAAAAAGGAATAAATATATTATAAAAGAAAATATTAATTCTAAACATATTCTACTATGACATCAATAGCATTGCTTAATTTTTTTAAATTAAAATAATAAAGATGTCAAAGTAAAAGCTAACCCAAGCTTTATTTCATTTTTCTTAAATTAAAAATGATTTAAGATTTATTGGTTTAAAAATAATACTGTAACAAAATATTTTACATACATGCATTAAAAAAAAAAAAAAAAACAGTGGAAAACAAGCCAAAGAAATGTTCACTTTAGAAAAAAAAAATTTTTTTTTTTAATTATTTGTTGAGAAAAAACCATGCTTTTGAAACATCATTAGACCCTTTTTTATTCAATTATCTAAAATAATAAAAAGTAGTATTAACTAATGGTCAAATTCTGCACTTAATAAATGTAAAAATATTTATACTTTATTATTTTTTTTTTTTTTGGAAAATAAAATCAGCTAAAGATTTATTTGTTTAAAAATGACACTGACTATCTAACAAATTATAAAACAAACAAGTATTGAAAGAATTTTAATAAAAATTTAAAAGAAAGTACTTTTAAATAAAGGTAAGCTGTGTTTTAATTTTTTTATAATTAAAAATGACTGAACATTTATTGGTTTAAAAATAATCAAATTATTATACTTACCTATATTTAATAAATTTAAAAAAGCTAACTTTTTATAAGAAAGTCAAATACAAATTATACCCCCATTAAATTGTATTGCTTAAAATAAAAAACAATAATTGAAAAAACTCAATGAAGAATCTTTTTTTTTTAATTTATATTTTTTTTCCACTGATCTATAGAGTTCAGAACAAAAATTTAAGGTAACAGCGATTGTGCAGCAATCGCAAAGTAACACTAGGTCTACTAAAAATAATTTACTAGAATCGTTATATCCAGACAGGAAAAAAAAATGGTATGAAATAATGCAGAACGAAACGATCGCTAAGAAGCAAAAGGTCTCACTGAAAATAATATACAAGAAACCAGACAGTTATTTCCGACGAAATAAAATGCACAACGATCGCAAATTGAAAATAATCTTAAAAAAACGCAAAATTCCAAAGACAAAAATGGACATAAGAAACTATGCATTGCGCTGATCTTCGCTCAAAACTGGGAGTTCCGATTCAATTCGCTCTTCGTCATCACAAAACTAACATCATCTTTATAGCAAAACGCTATCTACATCTCTACAGCTAGACGAAATCAAAATAGTCTTTGTCAGTGACATCGGCCTACCGATAAATGCGTTAAATCGATATTTCGCAATACATCGATTTATCGCCCAGTCCAAATTATTCTCCAATTAAAAAAAAGTTTTGTACAAATATAAAAAGGTATACATATAAGAAAATAGGTACGTAAATAAAAGTCGAATTACAATAAAATATGAATGTTAATAGAAGGAAAAAAACAATTAAAAATAACAAAACTGCCCCTGGTAGAGAAAAAATAACAAGTACTTTATTAAATCTAATGGAAATTTAAATTTTTGGCTTTTTGGACATAAATGATTGTATAAAAGTTTGCTTTCTTTTATTAACGTTCTGAAAAGTTAACGTTCATTTTTGAGAAAAACCTTCGCTAAGAGTAAAAAAGTCCTAATAGTCGCCTATTCCTGAAAATAGTTGCTTTTTTAGCCTTTTCAGGCAAAAAAAGTCGCCATAGTCGCCCAAGGCCGAAAATAGTAGCAAATAGTCACATTTTAGTAGTCTGTGGCAATCCTGTATAAATAATCAGTGGATAATTGAAGTTAATCATTTAACCAACACAATATTTTTTATAACAAACACAATAAACAATAAAAACCTTATATATTAGCATGGATTAAAAAATTATAAGATAAGCACCGATAAGATTGCAAAACTTCTTCAAACACTAATTTAAAAAGGAAATAAGACAAACTTACACACAGGGAAACTATCAAAATCATCTAACAGCAAAATCTTCACAAATATTTCATAAGTATGCAAACTTCATGAACTTTAATTTACATAAATAGAACTTACTTGCAAAGCACACCCTCTTGCAACTGCTTCATCTTGGTTTAATGATGTGCTTGGCTCTTTACCAAACACTTTAACAATCAAATTTTTAAATGCTGGAATGCGTGAAGAACCTCCAACTATTTGCACGGAATCTATATCTTCTGGTTTTAGTTCTAGAATAAAAAAAGGAAAGTTATGAGTACTATTAAAACAAAGATACTGTTGAACCTGTTTATTTCAAGCTTCTTCATCTCGAAGACCTCTATATCTCAAAATTTCTATCACTAAGATTTTTTTTTCTTTTTTACAAAACCTCTGTTTCTCAAATTTCTGACAATAGAGCACAAATGTTCATGCAACATAACTTTCTTTATCAGCAGATATTGCAGACAGAGAAGAATTTAGTAAACCCACGGGAAATCGGGATGAACAAGTTGGGGGTGTTTCGCGGAATTTCAATCACAAGCCTTGCACCTTCAGAGAGGAATACAATGACTCTTGCAGTAAGTGAGGGTATGATTGATCAGTAGGGCAAAAGATTTGCTTGAGTTAAATCTTTTGCTTTTAAGTACAAGCCATCAGGTAAGCTTGGATGACAAGTGAAATTTTTGGAGATTGGCTTAAATCATTAGACAAATCTATGTAAGTGAGAAGAATTTTTTTTTTTTATATTTATAGACAACTGCACCACACATAACAATATGCCTAACTTGAAAAATGTCACTGTAAAATATGTTAATGCAAACACCATCTCAAATTGCAACCAATGGATCAAGAGACAATAAGGAGCTTTAAAGTGAACTATAGAAAGCAGTTGGTATGCAAACTTGTAGATGCTATAGATGAAAAAGTTCTCTTTCTGAGATAAATGCGTTGGATGCTATCAGAATGACTAATTAATTATCAGGGTGCGTAGCCAAATCTTTGAATCAAAAATAAGCACTTTTTAAAAACTTTTCAAGCACTTCACAAAAATTTTCAAGCACTCAAAAAATTCATATTCAATCAGTGATATCAAAAGCAATACCTTTTTATAATCAGTTTTAGCGTTAACAAAAACCCAAAAAGAAACAGACGTAAATCGAAACAATCATTACTTTCCTAAATCATCGAGTGAATTCAACTTGACCCTGAACTCAGAACAAAAGTACCTGCCCCCCCCCCCCTACGTCAAAAAAGTGTTAGAAGTAAAATAAAATAAACAATAATAAAATTAAAATAAATTAAAAAGAAAAACATTTCATAAGGATCTGATATTCTCCATCCGAATTGGAGCACTCGGGTTTCAAGTGTGCGTGCATGCGCAAGTCATAACGTGGGTACGCCATGAAGTCCACGTGAATGATTACGTAGCAAACAACCCATTTTTCGTGAAGTACATGGGATCCACCAGATATCGACTGAAGGGAGAAAAAAGCACTTTTTAAAAACGCCAGCTGAAAAATTCACCTTTAAAAGCTTTTAAAAACGAAATCCCCCAAAAAGCACCTTTAAGTACTTTTTACAAACGCTACGCACCCTGATTATACCTGGAGAAATGTGTCTCTGAAAATTATCCAAAACATTTTCAAAAAAGCTGGTTTTAAGAATAGCTGTGAAGATGAACAAGGTTTAAAACATCAGTTAAGAAGAAGAAACTGTTTACACTGGAAATGCTATACCAGATTTGCAAGAATGGAATGCAATAAAATCAAGATTTAAAGTTGACATTAATTTCGATGATATTTTACAAGTGGACAACTGCCTGGCATCATGCAACATTGACAGATGCGGAAATCATAGACCATAAAACCTTATTATTAATGTCAAAGGAAGATCAGATGAAGAAGCTGAAGACCACATTGATGAACTAAAAGTGAGGGTATGAGTCAAAAAGCTATAGAGCTCTTACAAATTTTTCTTGAATACCAGGAAAATGTTGGCTATGAAGGATTTGCTGCACTTTTCAACCTTAGAAGAATTATCGAAGCAAAGAAGGCTAGACGTGAAAAATCTTTTGAAACATTATTTTCAGTGTTAAAGGTATGTTAAAAAATTGTTGTGTAAATAGATGTGGTATAATTAATTTACAGACATGTCTGTATTTCACTGCTGAAAACAATTAAAGCACTTTTAATAGAATTTCTTATTAAATTTAATTTTTTAAAGTACTTGTATATCTCAAAACCTCTTTATCTCAAATTTTTCGGCTTCCCTGTGAGATTTGAGATAAACAGATTCAACTGTATAAAGAAAATATAACCATGTTTTATTAAAAATTACAAAATTAAGCTACTTACTAGTATCTTCAAGTAATTTTAACAAAGTAGTTTCTATGTGTTTAAATAGATCCTCCGCTAATTTCTCAAAATCCTCCCTGTAACAAAAAGAAATATTAGAAATGCTTTGTTATTTTGAATTTATAATAATTCAATAAATTTAACACGTTGCTGCACAATTTTAATTTAAAAATCAAGCTTAAAAAAATTTTCTACAATATTCCTTTTTTTTTTTACTGTAATTTGACACAGGTACGCGGCCCCCTGATATTCACCGCACCCGTAGAATTTAACTAAAAAGGAAAAGTTCTTTACCAGAAAGGCCTTACCATCAGATAGATATGTCACACAAAATTTTACTGCATGATCGATTGCAGCGTTAGCACATCTGTTATAAATAACAAGTTACATACAAAATAAATGGCTAAACATTTAAAAATCAATGAAATTATTAAATATACACTAAATTAATACATACGATTTTATTTAAAATCCGAAATCATGTATTGCAATAATTTTTATCATAATCTTTCAAACGTACACAAAATTGCACTGTGCACTCAATTCCAATGCAACACATGACATTAATAAATAGATAAATAGTAACAGAAAATATTCAAATTTTATGTAAATCAAGTACATAATTAATACTATAATTAAAATAAGTTATCAAAATACAATAAATCGAAGAAAAGAATCTTGCTTGGAGTAAAATTGTACCATGTTTACAATCATGACCACATGTTGCTTTATTGTAATTTGATTTGAAATACTTAAATATTATAAATTGAATAATTAAACAGCTGAAAATCTTCACAATTAAAAAAAAAAATTATCAATGATTAAATCAAATAAATCTTGTTTTGCCCAAAATTTTACTACAGAAGACAATCACACGCATCCAGTTTCTTTTTACTAAATTTAAATTTCAAAAATTTTAATCTATCAAACGATAAAACCTTTCAAAATAATTTTTAAAAAATAGATATAAAAATAAACAAATAATTTTGTTTTGTATAAGATGATTGGGAACACATTATTTCTTTTATAATACCCCAGTTATCCATGAATGAAAAGGTTACAGCTAAAAAAAATTTAAAATAAACAATTAATATAGATCTAATAAAGCAGTTCATGCATTCCACTTTTATCCACATGCTCATCATGTTGCATCATTTTACTCAAACATCTCTAAATTGTCAAAATCGTATATTTTCGAGAGTACATTAGTTTACACACAAAGAAACTTATAAAATGAAATATTAATTTTAACAAATTTAACGAAGCAAAACTAAACAGGAGGACTTCAGTTAAGTTGTCGAAACATAACTCAGAAATCGATCCAAATTGTCAGCACTTCACCTTAATCTTTATCAATCAACTAGAATTAAATATTACTAAAAATTTTTTTATAAATTTCGAAAAGTGCTTTAGAAATAAACACTTCAGGAAATAAAAAAGATTTAGAAGAACTGCAAAGAGCTTAAGTCCTAGACATCTGATTTTTAATGCAAATTGCTTTATTATAACTCAATTTTTACTTCTTTTCTTTTGAAAAAATAAAAAACAATAAACTAATTAATAGATTGTCAACATAAACTTTGAAAACTTGATAAATACCTTTTCATTCTCCCAGTAACATCAATATCATTCATAAAACACTCAATATTCAAAGGGAGCTCAAGAGAATTAGCACTCATTTGCTTTTTAAGTTTCTCAGACTCTTGCATCAGCCTCATAACTGCTCTTTTGTTACTCATAACATCCAGTTTATACTTCTTTTTAAATTCTTCAACAAAATGTCTTACTATAACATTGTCAAAATCTCTCCCACCAAGATCTCTCTTCCAAGATGCACCCAAAACCTATAAAACAAATAAGATGCATTTTATAATGAGTTAAAGGAAAAGAAAACCTATCATCCAGATTAAATTCTAGTCTAATGATTTGATTACCATATACAGTAGAGAACCATTATCCAGTATCCAGATAACCGGGAAAAATTTTAATTGGTTTTCCCCGTCATTTTAAACTAGAACGATTATGAAAAAAAGCAGAAATTTTTCTCCCCGTTTACCCAGAGAATCTTCTTTCTCAGAGAATCTTCATTTTTCCGTTTGATTTACGAGGGGGGTGGGGAAAATGCATTGTATGCATATCAGTGAACAGAAGATGAAAGAGAAAAATATATTTATCTATTTGACATCGATTAATAAAAATAAAATCTTTTTCTTTTGAATAAATTCTCATTCTTTGGAAGTGTGGTATCATATGCAAGTTTTTATTGATGTGGAATCACATCTGCTGTAATTAATTATCTTGTTTTTATCAACAAAAAAAAAAAAAAAAAAAAAAAAAAAAAAANAAAAAAAAGGAGAATTGTTTATTAATTTAAACATAGGATTATTTTATGAAGCAGATTGCATTTTTGTTTTTCTGATTCCACAACGTTTGATATTTCTTTCTTTTCACTATAAATTTCGCACTCAATAAATTATTTTTATTCATAAATTTTATCATTAGGTTTTTTTTAAAAATTCTGTTGATCTAGCCTTGTTCCGGGTTTTAATATTTATGCTAGTGCCTTTTTTAACTATCGCTTCGGTTCGATAATTTTCTAGTGTTTTTATTTAGATTAATAAGTTTTCCTTTTATTTTATCGTTTCCCCAATATAGTTAGGTATGAAATATATTGCGTTATTTAACCATTGGTTTTGTTTATATTAGTTAATTTAGGAATTGTAATTATTTTTAAAAAATAAATACGGGAATTTTGTATTTTTTAAACTTGTTTTTCTTGTCTAAACTTGCAATTTTTTTTATTCTTTTAGATGTTATTTTTCTACCATTTTTTTTTAAGTTGGGAGTACCTTTCTTTTTTCTTTTACTTTATGCATTACACTTTTTCCTTGTAATTCGGGTTCAAAGAAACATTGATTAATGACACTTTTTGGTCGATCCAGAAAACCGGGAAATTCGGACATCTTGGATAGCGATGGTCCCGAGCATCCCGGATAATTGGTTCTCTACTGTATTTAGATACTATCTTAATGGTTCAAAGAACTCACTTTAAAAATGCTAATTAGTGATACTAATGAATTAAGGAATTCAAAATTATGAAAATACAAAAACAGATTCTCTACATAAATACCTGATCCATGGCGGAATTAAGGATAAAAATGCAGGAGATAGCCATTATTAGAATAATTAGATTTTTATAGTAGCCAAGAGAGTGGACAATAATTAGGTTACGTTAGGTAATCACTGCATTAAAAGTAAATTAAACAAATTAACATGTCATATTGTTTTTTTAAAAAAAAAGAATATGAATAGTAAGCACTGAGCAAGGAAAGACATTGGGATTTAAAAGAAATTGTGTGCTAATGTCATAAAAATATTAAACAAATTTTGTGTGATTAAAATTTAAAATGAAATGATCTAAAAAAGAAAACATTTCTAGAACAAACTATTAAATTTCTGCAATTTTGAAACTGATTTTTTTTACAATATAAGTTTGAAATTTTAGCAAAATCCAATTATTATGGAATATTTTTTACTCTCAAAGGAAAAAAAAAATCAGGAGTGTTTCTTCCCCTTCCAAAATGAGAGAAAGGCATCTTTGGAAAATAATTCTGCAAAAATGAAAAAAAAAAAAAAACATCTTCCGAAAAATTTTGCAGATAAGAAAACCTAACTTATTTGCTTCCCAAATGAAAAATCTTTCTGCAAGAGCTCTAGTGTTGTGGCGATTCACTCCACGGGGTACTGACATCATTGGGTTTATGACAATGTGAGCAATTGACGCAAAACGTCAAAATACATCAATTTGAAAATGTTTGAAAAGTCTAACTAGACTGATTTTTAAATCAGTCGAAAAACGATTACGATGACCAAAACATTAAAAAAAATGACTAAAACAGACTTCCGCTTCAAAAAAAAAAACTATCTTGTTGAAAAAGAGTTCTCTTTGGAAGCCCTATAAATATTTCAATTGCTCGCTTTCGTAACTCATTTACAAATGAACATCTCAAAGAGTGACAGCACTTCTAATCCATAACACTTCCTTACCTGTGACAATTTTTTTTTTAAAAAACGGTTGGTTTAGATTTTTAGAGTATAATTGTTGCAGGAAAAAGACATGATTACACTTTGTCCTACACATACTTATCACAGCATTTTCTAAAGATTCGTATAAGGTTGCGATAATATTGAACTTAAAGTAAATATCTCTTATTAACAACAAATGTGCATAGTATTAAAAAAAGGTTTAGGAAGAGCAGAATTTACAAAGAATTTAAAATTTATAAATTACCTTAAGTTTTCCTTTGGTAATTGCACATGCACTAGCTTGTAATGATGATTGACCAAAATCAACAAAAACTACATTTCTAGCTTTATCATCAGTTAAATCAGTCAAATAAAACCCATAAGCCAATGCAACTGAAATGAAGAAAAAAGTCATTTACCACAGTCAAAACTAAAAATTACTTAATAAAATATATTAATGTAATTTCATACAAGGAAAATAAAAATCAAAATTAAAATGCTACAACTAAGGCTTTAAAATTCTTAAAAAAGATTATTACAATAACTTAGAATGTTTATGTTACAATATTGGTATGATGTAATTCATTCTAATTTCTTTCAGTCTAAATGTTCAACCCCACATCATATAGCATTACATTACTTTCCTATCTGGAGAAAACCTGTTTTTGGATCAGGAACGCATGATGAAGATCCGAAAAACTCAGGACTAAAGTTCAGAGGTTAAACGTTGGTTGCAGAAGCATATTCGAACCATAAAAACATTTACACTTACAAGTACATTGATGGTTCTTGCATTGAAATTGAAAATTTTACAGAAAAAAAAAACTTAACAATTTTTTTGATAAAATATTTTAGGTTCCTTCATAAAATTTCAAGAGTTTACAGAGAGTGAAGAAAGTGCATAAAAATTCTTAAATAATTCAGAGTGATATGCTAATCCACACACAACTTTTGGGAGACAGCTTCGTTTCAATTATCGAAAAATTTAAATCTGCCATTGATGTGGTAAGACATCTAGTGGTAATGTAGCGGTACCACTGAAAAAATAAATCCATTTGTTTGAATTAAAACCTTATTAAAGAAATATACACTGTAAACAACTTCTACAAATTACTCTTTTCAAAGGTAAATATATAGTGCATATAGTACATTTTCATTCTAACTACATATCTGTCAACCCAGATTTCTTACACAGGGGCGTAGCCAAATTTTTCAATAAAAAATGAGCACCTTCTAAACACTTTAAAAAATATAATTAGGCATGGTTGGCAAGATTTGACAATTGATGGTTTTAACCATGTCAAGAAAAATAAATAAAATAAACTTTAGACAATTGTAAAAAACCCAAAATTTTGGCATAAGGATAATTATTAGCCATTATAAATATTAAGTATTTTTATATTAGCATACATGTAAAAATTACAAATGTTCGATCAACACTATGTTCTTGTATTATTTTAACATAGAACTCTTTGTTTTGAAAATTACTGTCAATTTGGCGTAGAAAATACTAAATAATTCCAAATAAAAATGTGTCAAATTGCAATTCATCCAATCCCATAATTTGTTTAATTTTTAAAAATAAAAATGCGAAATCTTTATCAGAATCTTATAAAAAAAAACACTTAATCATTTTATTCTTTATAAGTTAAATCAGTTTTCATTTATTTCGATTTTAACTCCTCTTTAATCAATATTGGTTCACTGAGGGCCCAAGTTATTTTGCAGCTAGATAAGCATTAAATGTAGAAGTAAATTTCAGTTCCAATTAATGATAGATAATAATTATATCGTTTGAAGTAGTCTCCGTTTTTACTATCTATGCTACTTAAACATTATTTTAATCAGGGCCCATGCAAATGTATTAGGATCCCGACCTCATGTGTTCTGAAAGGTGTTTGGTTTAAGGGGTGCTTTGTTCAGAACAGTTCTGAACAAGTGGAATAAACGTCGAAAAGAATGAAGAATAGTGAAATTCAAATTTTTTTAAAAAATGGTAGATATTTGTGCATTTGGAAATTGGTTTAAAGAGTGCACAGATTTCTTGTGTTAACTATTTTATAATGAGAGAAAAGGAAAAAACATGTGAGTTTCTCTTGCTGTAGGGAAAACACTGACAGGGTTTTAAAAATATCGGAATTCGCAAAACAATGTGAAAATACCCAGAATAATGATTAATAACTGTAACTATAAGACCGAAAATTTAATTTCAAAAAAATTACATAAAAAGGCATAACAATATCATCCCAGTAAAGAGTAATTTAACACGCCATGGGGGTCACCAGTGATAAGCACTGAGTTTGCTCGTAGCGCCACGGGGGTCGCCACACAATTTGAGAAATTTTTAATGCTTTTAATTTTTTATATTATTATTACTAAAATGGTATGAAGAAATTAATGCAATACATGCTGAGAAATTCATTTTGGTCAGACGGGTAAGCCATGTTAAATTAGCGTGGCATTCAATGTTTTAAAAAGGGAGAAGAAAAATCCTTACACCTAAGAATTCTAAAAGCAAATATACTTAAAAATTCTTACCTGCAGTAGTTTCATTAAGGAGTCTTAATGCATTTAAACCAGCAATTTGTGCAGAATCCAGCAACATCCGTCTTTCCCAATCAGTGAAGTAAACTGGTACCTATAGAAAAGTATCAAGAAATTAAAAATTTAGATTTTCTAACAATATAGAATGCATGTAGTAATAAATATTAAACCTTGTTTTAATATATATTGCAACAAGACAAAGCAAATGTTTTTCAATATATTTTTGTATTTTATGCCCTCACATTGGACTACACCATAGGTTCCCAAAGTGGTCCAGGTGGACCCCCAGGGGTCCATAAGAGACAACACAGGGGTCCACGCAGACGTGAAAAAGGAAACAGGNACCTCCCTCCGTCCCCATGTTCTAAACAACTGCATTTTCACGAAGGGGGGCGTTGAAATGTTTTTTGCTCCTTAAGGGGGCGGCAACGTTAAAAAGGTTGAGAATCTATGGCTTAGAGCATAGGTTCCCAAAGTGGTCCAGGCGGACCCCCAGGGGTCCATAAGAGACAACACGGGGGTCCACGCAGACGTGAAAAGGAAACAGGGATTCACAAGTTGTAAGTGGGGGTCCACGAAAAATTTTGGCTTAGTTCAAACACAGAATTGAATCGAACAATAGATAACAGTACAAGCGTACACCACATGTCGAGACTTGCAAAGCCCGCTTGTATTTAACTACCCTACATGATGACTTCAAAAATAGATTTGAAGATATTCTGACGATGGAAATACCACCATGGATCATAACCCCACTTGATGAAACGGAAGAGGCGAATGTGGTATTACAAGAGGAGCTACTTGAGCTCAGCACCAACGAGGAATTGAAGGTGCAATTTAAAAAAGGCTATCAAACATTTTGGCTGCAGGCAGAAATCCCCGAAAAATATCCTGGGCTGTGGAAAATTGGGAGAAAATTTTTGATAGCGTTTCGCTCGTCATATGTTGTCGAAAGAAGTTTTAGTGCTGTTATAAACCTGTTAACAAAAAAAAAAAGAAGCAGATTGAACATCACAGAACGGGGAGATTTGAGATTACTTCTTACAAAACTGAAGCCAAATATTGATAATTTGCTGCCAATTCATGAAGTACGTCCGTCTCATTAAAAGTATGACTATTTTTTATCGTTGATTTACATTTCCGAGTTCATTGTTGATTTTTTGTCAATTGTTGATTGTTTGTAATAATGTTTATAATTTTGTATAATCAACAGTATTATTTTAATAAATAGGACACAAGAAAATGTGCTACTTTTTTTTCTTCTTAACACCCCCAATTTAGGATATTTTTTAGGAGTCTCGGGAATACAGTAGAAATATATCAGCAGGGGGTCTACCGAATAGTAAAACTTCGAAACTGGTCTACGAGAAAAAAAAGTTTGGGAACCTCTGGCTTAGAGCAACGTAATTCAACCTCTTTTTTTTGTTGCGGCACACTTTTAACGATTTCGGAATTTGACGGCACACAATGAAAAAAAATTAGATTAAAAATTGTTTACTTACCTATAATACACTGTGTTAAATAGTTTGTGATAATAATATGTACTACAAAAGCACGTTTATTAAGGGATTAATTATTTCTTTCGAATGATTTTTTATTAGTAAGTAACAGTTATTTATTTTTTCCTTCTTTTTGCTAGTTATTAATTGTTAGCTTGTTTTCTATAGTTATTAACTGTTATTTTTTGTGATTTCTTGTTAACTAGTTTTTCTTGCTAAGTAATTTTTAGCTTATTTTCTTGTTAGTTATCCTTTCCTAATTTTTTTATATATTTGGTTTTTTTAAGTTATCCTTTGCTAATTTGTTTATATTGCATAGCTTACTTTAATGATTAACTTATATTTTCATTTGTAAGTTAATATTTGTAAGTTACATTCCCTACTTATATCAACATTTTTTTAAAACTGTGTGTCAAAGACAATTTAACTATTTCATCTTATTTTAAGATTGTCTGAGACAAGGCAATCGCAGACAAAGATGTTCACATGGTTAAAGCGTAGAAAAATTATAAAAAGTATATATATACTTTTTATGAACATTTCAAGCACATTTTAAGAATTTGGCAGCACAAAAAAGAGCCGCGGCACTGCGGTTGAGAATCACTGGCTTAGAGAATCGACACACGGATTAAAAAAGGGCATGCTGCATTAGACACTGTTTTGTAAAACTGTCAATATTCAAGCGGCAATGCTGTATATTTGATTAAATAATTAATTCTTTAACAACAAAAAATACTATAAGAAAAAGCTTATCGGTTCAGTTTTAATTGTATTTCTTAATATTCAATTTTACTTCTATGTATTAAAGAACATTCTCTTATACTAATGTGAATACACAAAAAGTATTGAAGTTGAAAATAAGATTTATTTTTAAAATTTAGATCTGATATTGATTACTTATGATTGCATATACTTAGAAGTATAATTNCGAGGAACTAACTGAAGGTGCAATTTAAAAAAGGCTATCAAACATTTTGGCTGCAGGCAGAAATCCCCGAAAAATATCCTGGGCTGTGGAAAATTGGGAGAAAATTTTTGATAGCGTTTTGCTCGTCATATGTTGTCGAAAGAAGTTTTGTGCCGTTATAAACCTGTTAACAAAAAAAAAAGAAGCAGATTGAACATCACAGAACGGGGAGATTTGAGATTACTTCTTACAAAACTGAAGCCAAATATTGATAATTTGCTGCCAATTCATGAAGTACGTCCGTCACATTAAAAGTATGACTATTTTTTATCGTTGATTTACATTTCCGAGTTCAATGTTGATTTTTTGTCAATTGTTGATTGTTTGTAATAATGTTTATAATTTTGTATAATCACAAGTATTATTTTAATAAATAGGACACAAGAAAATGTGCTACTTTTTTTCTTCTTAACACCCCCAATTTAGGATGATATTTTTTAGGAGTCTCGGGAATACAGTAGAAATATATCAGCAGGGGGTCTACCGAATAGTAAAACTTCGAAACTGGTCTACGAGAAAAAAAAGTTTGGGAACCTCTGGACTACACAAATGAGAAAAGTTTTCTGCAACTAAAAGTGCAACTAAACTTAAAATCTAACTAGATTGTAAAAACGAACTTTATACTTACAGATATAACACAGTCCTGAATTTTAATCTTCAGGTTGGTCTCTGATATTTCTTTTAATTTTGTAAGCATCATTCCCATAATTTGAGGAACACTGAATACTGTTTTCTCTTTGAGATAATTTACCTGAAAATAAAATTGATACAGACTTAAACAAAGATACCAACTACTCTGTGTTCTGGATTCTGCAAAATATTTTATACAAAGTAGAGAATCATAAACCAGAGGCAATTGTGAGCCCAACTCAAAAATCATGAAAACTTCTTGAGTGAAATCATTAACTGTGCATTTCAAAAAATTAATGTCTTTGCAAATTGAAATCATTGATACTTCCAAAACATGAAATTCTAAATAAATTCTATGCAGCATAATTTAAATGAATAATTATATATAAATTTACTTTTATCACTAATCACATTATTAAACACATAACTACCATTTTCCTTTAAAAAAAAAGTTAGTTTGAATTCAAAAATTTAAACAAAGTTATTTTATTTTTATCTCAATATTTCTTAGCTTACTAAAAATATTTTTAAAATTTTACACATACCTAAGAAAGACCTGGAGAAACTTTCTTTTTCGGGTTAATGTTACAGATCACGAATGAATTAATCTTGAAAATAAACTTATTTTCTCTCCCCTTATAAACCAATAAAATTAAAATAGACTATGTTTTTAAGTTAAACTGTTGAAAATGAAGTTCTGAAGTAACTACTGGAAAAAATATTTACAAAAAAGATAGTTGCAAAATAAAATTCCAAGCACTTTTTCAAACAAAAACGCAATAAACAATTAAAATACACAATACATAAGCATTGATTAAAATATTAATTATAGGAAAATAAAATTTTAATAAAATATTACAATAAAAATAAATTATTTTTAAAAAAACATTAAAAAAGACTTTCTTATAACACCAAATATCAAATCACCCTAAAAAGAAACTAACAAATCAACTGACAAGCAAAAAATAAATAAATAAATAAAAGATAAAATTGCAGTATTTTAGTCTTAGCTAGAAAATAAAATAAATTATCCAAAAAAATGGAACAAAGCTGAAAGATTAAAAAATAAATAAATGGGGAACTTATTCATAAAGTAAATAAAAAAACAACTTTTCAAAAACTAAATGATTCTAAAAAAGTATATAGTAAAAACAATTAATTTAATAAAAATACTACGTAATAATCTGTATTGAATCAATCAGTCTTAATCAACTCATAAACATTTGTAAGAAAAGGAAAAAAAATGAAAAAAATATATAAAAATGATATAAGATTTTTCCATTATAAATAAAACTAACTATAAAAAAGATGTATAAATAGATTAAAAAATACATATTAGGACGGTAATACAACGAAATTTATATTTAATAACTACAAAAATAAAAATAAAAACTTAAATGATAAATACTAAACCAACACAAAAATTAACAATAAAAGAAGAGCTAACATAAACATTAAATCCCGAGAGGCCGAGATATAGTGAAATTAACTGAATTAAAAAAAAAAAAAAAAAAAAATCTTTATCCTAAAATCCATGAACAGCTAATTTATTGAATACGAAGTTTTGAACGGAGAAACTAAAAACAGAGGAATTCAATTTTATAACAAGAGAAAGCTGCAATCTGCTTTATAAAATAATCGTCTGATTTTGGTAATAAATTATAGTCTACGTTTATTAATAAACAATCGTCTGCTTTTGTTTCTTTATAAAAGCAGACAACCTTTAAGAAAAGCAGATGTGATTCCACATTATGCAAAACTTGCTAATGATACCGCGCACCTTTGAGGAATCAGATTTATTCAATTAAAAAGTTCTTTCAAATAAACGTAGCCGATGAAAAAACATTAGTTCGTAATGATTATTGTATTATCCGAAATTATAAAATAATAATTTGTCATATAAATGGATTGCGAAACAATAGATTTTAAAACACCTAACTTATGTCAATCCTCTCAGAGCAGAATTTTTGAGTTAACTCCGACATTCAACTGACTACACTCCAAAAACGCTTAAGAATAATAGAAGAATCTTAAGGATGCACCTAATGAAAAATTTCGTTCTTTTTCCCGGTCCGAAATATTTTTCTTTAATATCATCCTATTTCGCAAGGGCAAATTACGGTATCCCGAAAATAACGTTGTAAGTAAAATTACGTTTTTTAATGAAAATTCCATTACTTTTTTTTTAAAACCTAGTTTCTCTGATTTAAAAAAAAAACACGGACAAACGAACCATGTCATTATCAGAAATAAAATACTACTGAAGTTACAAATTATTAAAATGTAAATAAATAAAATTAATAGGAAAGATTTATTTGCGACCGCAACCCTTTTTATTGTATTTAAATAAACATATATATTGTATTTAAAAGAACCGAAATAAAAATTCGGGAGCGATCTTACAAAAGCAGAGTTAGAATAGCGATAGCAATGACATTAAAAATAAATGAATAAATAAAAAAAGCTGAAAAATATTAAATGAAAAAAGTTTCGTACTTAAATTAATCTATCTAATATTACAATGAGTTGTCAAATCACAACGGTATGTGATAGATTATGGCTAAAATTGTGATAAGCGCCAAAAGAAAGATATAAATAACGAATAATAACGAACTTCTATAATAACGGGAAAAAAATCACTTAAGAGTAACAATATATCGAAAGTACAACAGAGTTATCGATCGGCTTGGTAATTGTGATAGTGTCGAATCAAAAATCTCATTTGAAAAATATCGTTAAAAAAACGAGTTACTATTAGAGAAAGAAAAACCATTTTTTAATCAATCAATTTATTTAACTCTATTTACAATGTGCAGCCAAATTCAAGCTGCATTATGATCATTCAGAAAAAATTAAACAAATGTGTGGAATAACACATGTTGCATCTTCAAATAAATTTTATTTTTCAACATTATTGAGGTACAAGCATACAGCACACCATCTAATTACACCATTCGTAATGTTTGAACATGTCACCGAGTCGTCGTCATAGATTATCGCAGGACTTGTGATAGCGTCGAAATAAAACCGATGTTCAGCAGTCGAGTAAAAATTTAGAAAAAAATTCTAAATGAAGAAAAAAGTTTCTAGTTCAATTCAGCTTATTTAGTATCAATCAGGATGAATAGTAGAACAAAATAATAAATAAGGAAATAAATAAATACAAAAAATGCAAATGGAAATAAATAAATACAAAAAATTGAATTAAGTATGCCTCATCTAAAAATAAATTTATGTTTGATTCAACATTTATGAGGCGCGGTCATACTTAGCACTCACGAATAGTATAAAATAACAAAATAAAAAAAATCGACTGCTGAAACAAATTAATACTGATGAAAATGAGAAAGTTAGTGCTATGCGATATTCTATAGAGTAAAAAAAAAATTAAAGACGGATCTGTTGATACTGCTGGCAGCTTGCCAACAAAGAATGAGAAAGTCATCCGAAAAAAATATCAAAGAAAAATATAAAAAAAGGAATAAAGTTTAAGAAAAAATATCGTTTGCCATTATAAATTCTTAACATAATTTGTAATGAAACATAACGTGAAACTTCTGGACCTTGAAACTCCGGAATCCTTCGGATCGTGGTTTGACGAAAAAATCTGGATTTTTTCCAGGGCGCAATCATCTCTGATAAATTTTCAGTTAATTTTGCTAACTTTTTAAAAGGCTTTTGGCAAATTAAGTTTCATAAACACTAAAATAAATTATCAATTAAAATTTAAAGAATAAATTTAATTTAAATATAATTAAAAAATAACAAATAAAAATACAGCAAGTTAAATGAAATTAAGATAATTGGATATCCATGCTTCACCTGTAACCAGCTCACGGTGAGTAAAAACCATATAAATCGAATTCACTAGACCGAGAACGATACGTTAAAGCATAAATGTTGCAACCGCTCGAAAGTATTTACCTGAACCTGTGGCAAGTTGGCATTTCAGCTAAAAATCAGACTTAGGATTGTAAAATAAAAATTCTTGATTGCTACTGACTTTACAAATCATATTTGCTATCTAACACATGGTTTTCCTATAATCTTTTAAGCAGTTATTTATAAACTCCTTTGCAACTTCTACATAGAATTTTAAAATCAGGTTGTCCTAATGATGTTATAACAACTTGCAAATTTTGAATTTGAATTCTCCTTATTTTTTAAAGAACTTTGTACAAGCCCACTCAATCGCAAATTCATGCAGTTTTTCGTTTTTTTTTTCTTTTGGCAGTTGCTTATTGTTTTTTAAGTCATTGCCATATGGCGTTTTAGGGCTACCAGTGGGATAGTCCCTCTAGTTGATTCAGATGTGAAAATAGTCTCCAAAACAGTTGCCAGAAAATTTTTTTTCCTTTAACATTTTCTTAAAATATCGATTAAACGTTTATAAAGTTGCATGCAGTGCAAAAAAAAAAAAGGAAACACCCTGAATAACTTTTAGATCCAATGATTAGATAGATGATGCACTAGAACTCAATCTTAAGAGGAGCCATACCGCAAAAGAAAATTTTCCTCGCAAATTCTTTTTCTCCTTCATAATTAATTTTAAAAAAAAAGTTCAGGCAAACCTAGAGTAAGTCATGAAGTATCAGTTGCTGAAAAATATACTTCAAAATATTAAAATGCAAACAAATAATAAGAAGCGAACTCCAAGGTTGCGTAATCCTAAGTAATCTTCTTATAATTTAGTTTCATTTGTATATTTTAAAATTTTCTTTTCAGTATTTGAAACTTCACGGCTTATTCTAGGTTTGTCTGAACACACTTTTTCTACATTTAAAATTAGTGAAAGAAAAAGAGTATTAACGAGGAATTCCCCCCCCCCGCTATATGACGCCCTCTTGATGATTGGAGTGAGTGATCTCAAAATGCTAATTAGGCAGTGTAGACAATATTTTAAGTTACAAAAACAGACACAAGGTAATTCCGAAGTTTTTGCACACATTTATAAAATTATTAATAACTATTCACTATTTTATGTAATTTTTCATGGCAAAATATAAAGCTTGAAAGAAATCAGTCAAATTGTTTACAAAAAATCAAATTTTAAATACTTTTTTTTAAACCTTGATTTCTCATGAATTATTGGACTGTTTTCCAATTTTGTAGTCTGCTATAAAAATTACATTCTTTAAAATGATGTAAAAAATTTTATAATCTAAATTGTTAATACTTTATTACATAAAATTTTAAAAAATGAATAATTATTAAAAAAATTTATTTTGTGTCGAATTATCTTTGGTTAAACTAATTTTATAATTATTCAATTTGTTTAAAAAGTTCTCAATATGCAAAAAGTAAAATTAACATCAAAGGGTTCAAACTTTGGACTGTTCACTTGACAACTATAGGAACTATATTTCCTAGACCTAGATTGCGACTATCCTCTTTATTTTGAGGGTATGGAATTTGTAAGAAAAGGTACATTTATGTAGATATTTTTTTTTTTTTTGTGTGTGTGTCTCAATTCACTATTTAAAATATCATCTGTACAAGTTTAAGCTAATTAGCATATGAAGACACCCCAGTGAACCATTAAGTTTAAATCTTAGTATGCATCCTAGTATAGAAAATTTGTTTTTTTTTTTAGCAATGTAGAAATTAAAAATATTTTTTTGGTTGTTGCTCCCACATTAAAAAAAAATTACAGAAGGCACTGCTTGATTAACTTTTTAACCACACTATTCTTGCATCATGCAATTGTGGAGGTTGAAACACAATAACTAATCAAGAATATATAAAAACTAGAAAACATCTAAAATAAACAATAAGATTTACCTGTATACCAGTCTGGTTATTAGATAACGCACAAGTATCATAAGGAACATACTGAAGTTCATTCTTAATAACCTGATCTGAATAAAGTCTGCCTAATAGTCTTTTGAAATTATAAATAGTGTTTTGCAAATTTGTTATTTGCTGATTCTTGGCAGAAACTCCTAATTGACGGTTTTGATTCCCAAATGCAACATATGTTCTAAAAAAGAAAGAGATACAGAATTATTAATAAAATTTAAATAAATAAAAATAAGCACCACTTAAAATGTAAGAAAAATAATTATAGAAATATAACAAACTAGAAACAAAAATATAACAAATAACTGAACAGTGTTTTCATTACATAGGGAAAATTTTACAAATTGTTTTCTTTTCTTGCTTCAAAAATTATTACAGCGAGAAATTGGCACACTATTTCAATAAATTTCAAAATGTGTGAATCCCTTGCATTTTGGAAAAAGTTAAGCGTCCACCATTTTATGAAAAAAATTTCTCACTTATCTTCCTTGATCTTCCATTATGTCTATTTAACAGTATTATTTAGAACTGGTGCAAATAGAAAACAATCCCCTAAAACCACAGAACCCTTTTCAGAACAAATTTCTCTGCAACCACATGTTCACCATAGGTAAGGTTTCTCCATGTAAGATGCTTAAATTATTTTATGCATGAATGTAAGATGGACAAATACCTTTAATAAAGGCAACATTTTCTACTCCAAAATGGACAAATGAAAATGAAACAAATACAGATATTCAACCAAATATAAAATCAGACATAGCTTTCAAGAGAAATGGAAGAAAATGTATGACTGGTTGGAGAAAGTGAAATTGCATGATTTACATGTTCTGCAACAGGGTTGCCACTCAAATCTGGAAGAAAAAAATATTCCCTGTACATATTATACACAATATATCAAGAGGAAACAACAATTACTGTGCTTTTGTGTGAGCTATATTGGGCTAACTGTATTAATTAGTTTTAATTGCTGGAAAAACAGCTTAAATACTGCTATAGTAAAGGAAATGGTTTAGTATAGGTGAAATATCATGATTAAATATCCCATAGATAACACTTTGAGTGTCACCATCTTTTAAAAGACAAAAATAACTAAAGAAAAAAAAAATCAAAACTCCCGTCATTTTAGGTGATTTTTAAATTCCCTGTATTTTCCAGGTTTTCCCTGTGGAGTGACAACACTGTGCAAATAGGGGTGATTGTAAGCCCAACTCAAAAATCTTGAAAATTTCTGGAATAAAATCATTAATGACACATATCAAAAAATTAAAGCCTCTATAAATTTAAATCATTGCTATTTTCAAAACATGAAATTCTAAATAAATTATATCCAGCATAATTTAAATGAATAATTACTTTTATCTCTAATCACATTTATTATTCTACCAGAAAAAATATTTACAAATGAAAGAGATGCCAATTATAAATACTAGTTCTAATATTTTTTAATAAAATTTACAAGAATTCTTATTCATCACTTGTGAGTGATGATTTTTGAAACTTCTGGACCATGGATTTCCGGTTTGCAAAAAATCCTGAAATCCGGATTTTTTCCAGAGCACAATCATCTCTGTGCAAACACTTTGCCGAAAGTGCAAAGAGAATCCCTTGGAACCCTAAGTTCATTCTTTTTATAATTAACAACTTAATTTATTACAATTTAAATGCAAATATTTTAATATAAAATTGCATATTAATTATGCATACAAAATTAAAAACGCAAATATATAACATCTCTAGAACATATTTATAATTTGCAAATAATAGTTAAACAACTCAGTTTCAAATTTCTTTAACTTTCATGAATTTTTGCATAAAATGTACTCCGTTAAATGTCAGAAGTTAATAAAATTTCAAGCTCATGAATTTCATGATTTTTTTCTATCCTAAAGGACCCATAAATAAATGTCCATATCTAACTGTGATTGTAATGATTGTTTTACTCAATCACTGAAATAATCATTATTACAATCGCATTTTGATACAAATAATTATTTATAAGAATGAAAACCCCTTTTCATCAAGAGTATGAAAAATAAATTATCATGAAATCCAAAAGCTAAAGATTTTTCATCAACCCTCTACTGCTGAGGTAATGAACGGTGATTCATTTTTATCACTTAATATTCAAAGTTGCACGCAGTTCAAGTTCAAAGAATCGTCAGTACTGTTTATTTTCTTGTCCCATAACTGTACCTACTTATAGAAATTTATTTAATTTTAATCTATTTATTAATTAATTACAAAACATGACCCCTTTTTCTTTTGTTTTTATACTTGATTTTGTGGTATTTTAAGTTTTAACTGTTAGATAACTGCTTTTTTTTTTCTCTTGGTATTTCAGCGATTTGCATCTTAATTTAATTATTAACTAAGAATAGGGGTTTTCTTTTTTTTCTGCCGTTCTTCTGCGATTCAGATGCATTTCCCAATTCAACTGACTAATTTAAGAACAGTTTCTTTCCGTATTTCAGCGAACTAGATTTATTTTGCATTTAAACTGTATTATTAGATTAGAATTAGCTTTCCCATTGATTTATTTCGTTTTCATACTTATGTGATTTGGATATATTTGCCATTTAGACTGAATTTTTTAGAATCAAGTTTTTTTTTTTCCTTTTTTTTTTTGCCAGTATCCTGCGATTAGGATTTATAATGTGTTTTAACTGATTTACCTTATTACAGTTAGTTTTTTAATTCTTTATTTTTATACTATAGGGATCCGGATATTTTTTTTTATTGAATTGTTAAGAACTACTTTTTTTTTCTTTTTTGTGATTTAGATTTTTTTCCCGTATTAACTAGATTAATAGTTTAAAACTAAACTCTTTATTTAAATATTTCATTATTTTTCTAATCCGATTTATTTAATCATCTGTTTTTTTTTTCACTGCAGTTCCACGATTTGGATATATTTTGTTTTTAACCTATTTAGAATAGAACCACGTTTTTATTCTTTGTTACTCTTTCTTTAATTTTTGTACTTCAGTGATTTAGATATATTTTCAATGTATCTGAATAATTATTTGAAACTTAGTTTTGTTATTTCACCGGTATTTATGAAATTCAGATATATTTTGAGATTTAACTGAAATATAATTAAATTACAATTAGTTTATTTTTCTCTTTACTCAACGTTTTTGGGCTTATTCGCTTCATTCTTGTTCGATTAGAATGTATTTGACAAATTAACTGAATTATTAGTAAAACCCTGCATATTTTTTTACGTTGTTTTTGTAATTCAGCGGTTTTGATTTATTTTGACTGCTCAATGGATTATTAATTTAGAGCTAGTTTATTTGCCAGCAATAATTCAAATACTTCAGGGAGCTGGATACAGTTTAAAATTGTAGAAACTGATATATTAAGATCTAACAGAATAAGTGGAAACTGCGTCTTAGAAGCGAAAATAGTAGAAGTGTGTGTTAATTGTATATTCCAAAAAAGAAATTCCCAACTTTATAATTAATGGAATCGATGGCTATATTATTTATACTATATAATGGCCAAAAAAGAATTAATAGTTATATTATATAGATCTAAATTGATCAGGATATTAAAAAACTTTTTCAATATTCATTCCAAAAAAATTAAACATTAACATATCAACAAAAACTATGAAATTATAAGTCTAGAAACTCAAAATAATAAAACAACTATTGTTAGTTATTCTAAATTCAATAAAACATAGGTTATTCTTAAATTTACGGATAACACAATTATTGTTAACTATTAGGAACCTGTATGATTAAATTACTTAAGTCTTATATTTGAAAAATAGGGCACATGAATTTGAGAGCTAGCTTTTTCACGTGCTTAGTCGCGCACAAAGAATTAATAAGATAGCAAGTTCATTATGAAAGCAAAGGTTGCAATACAATAAATAATTTTTAACATATCTAACTAAGCATATAGTAATGTAACCAAATTGTGTGGGTATTAAAAATGAGGTACTTACGGTGTAGATCGTTGACTGTATTCGTTAGCAATAGTTTCGATACCACCGGCTCTTGCAACGGCGACATAAGAATTTTCATTACCTATATCAAATCCTATCACAGACATAGTAAATATTGAGAAGGTTTCGTAGATCACAGAAGTCTAGCACAATAACAACAATGTAATCACAACAATGTCAAGAAACCAGCGAGCGCTACTACCACCTACTGTAGTACTCGTGCCGAAAGAAAGAAAAGGAAAGTTCAGGAACATTCCAACCATAACCGCGACAGAACGGATTAAACCTGAGTGAAACCGCAAGGTTGTGATTGGCTCAAAACTATTATTTTTTACTGTCAGGTTCATTATGTTACAAAGGTTTATTTACTGAGAAATTCAAACAATGAAAGAAAAATTTAGAAATTAATGCAAAGTGTAGATGTCATTTCATCATTTCGTTGTCAAATTCTATTGTCTTTTAAGGGGTATTCTTACTAAATCTTGTTAACGCATTTTTAAATGCCGTTCAGGGAGAATAAGAACCTAGTGGTTAAAATATATTTTCCCACAGAAAGTTATTAGTTACTCATCAATTAGGTTTTTCTCTTCGGTGATCGTCGAAGTGGGGGTGCCATCCCCTCTTAAGAGGATCAAAATTGTGATGACATGTCTTCAGATCATCCTCAGGAATGTTTCCCAGACCGTCGCTGATAGCCCATTGTGCAGCTCTTACGCGACGTAAATGAACTACAACAACAATTCTTCGGCGATAGCAAGTGCTTTGAAATGCATTCATTAAGAGTATACTCTAGACTTTAGAGTGCAGAGGTCGTTGGGACAAAGAATATAGAGAGATTATGGATGGGTGATCGTGTAAAGCTAAGTGTGGCGGCGCTAGTGGTAAAATTGCTCTTTCCAGACTTCCGGGTTACTGCTTCCGATATATTTTTACGCCGCAGATTGAGAAAACGCGCCATCATATTATTGCATCATATCTTTTGCAGTATTTCACATGTACCGAGTTCTTTCTTTCAGCCTTTAAACTTCAGCATTATCATATTAATATTATAATCATTAGAATATTTTCTAATTAGGCTAACTTAAAAAGATATTTTTGGCGACATTTTATTCAAATGTAGCCAAATAAGGGATAAAATACAAAACATGGCAAACCTTAAGAATTATTCACAATGAGATATTAACTTTCCAAAAT